GTTCTGTAAAGGGTTATAGCCATGTCTATGGGTCCCACATTAGTTCTTTGAGGGACATGGGACTGACTGGTTGCTTTCTGGAGGTTTGTTCCAGCAATACCTTGCTTTGATTCCTTCTCCCAGTAGCTGGAAACAATTTGGTTGAGAGTGAGGGAAGTAAGTGTYTTCCACCTGGTTCAACAGCAAAGGACACAGCCTGTCCAAAAAATGGTGTGGTGTTGGGTGAAGGGGGTTGTTCCTAGGTGTGGTGCCTAAGGGCTTCCTGCTAGGGAGGAATAGGKTTTCTTTACTGATCCATCTCTAGTGCCGTGTCTGCTGAAGAAAATGATTGGTTACAAGGCTTGAGGATCAAAATTTTAAATCATGACCATGGGTTGTGAAGTGCATGTTGCTAGTTATTTCTCAACCAGTCTCAATTCRTGTGGATTTCAAATATCCGAGCAGAATTAGGAGTCCTGGAASTAATGCCCTTGTAGATGTGGTAGCTTGCCCTTTTGGCACAGTCATCAATAACAACTAGGGGAGTGTGAAAAGGACTTTACCAGCACTCAAAATAAAAAGTTACGTGCTGCAAGGCTTTTCTTGTCTTCTTTTTTGTACTCCACAGCCAGCAAACAATGAGACTTCCTCATTCTTTATCCTTCCTTTACTCAGCACGCTAAACAGGTTTCTCTTAGTGTCAGGTCCCCTTTCTGTGTGCGTGAATGTGCTTTTTCAACATGAGTCTTAGGGCTTGCCTCAGAGTACATGCMGTACACGGTGATTGCTTAACACTGTGCTGAACCAGAAGAGTGTCAGATTCTTGCAGACTCTGCAGACGTGCCCTCATCGAGTTTTTGTCAGTTCAAAGGGAGAAAGAAACTGTGGTTGTGTGATTCAAATGTAGTTTTTGTAAATTTACAGGGTTACATGAGCTCCAGGTGTGGGTGAAGGTAATATCTGCAAAGCCAGAGAGTAGGACTGAAAAATAAAAGAGGAAGCAGCATCAGATTACTGCTCTGTGGTTAGGGGAGGATAATGCAGGGCATGAATCAACCTTCTGAAGAAAAAATGGGTAATTTAACAAGTATTGATGGTGAGAGATGAAACAAGTTTTTTCTACTTTTTATGTTTTTCTGTTAAGTCTAGGAAGAAAATTACTGTGAAGTGTAGGTATAGTAGGAGAACATAAGGTASAATACCTCAGGAAGATGATCCTTTAGATCGCTAGTTTTCAGAAATGTTTGTTGTTTTCAGTCCCTGTTGTCATCCCCAAATTAGACCAGGTACTTGTGCAATATGAAACTCATGTGGGTATGTTTTTTAAACCTGGGGGAGGAGAGATGCTGTGCAATAGCTCAGGTGCCAAACATATGCCAATTTCTGAAAGAATGAGAAGTTTCTCTAGGTARTTACTCAGAAGACTTGTGAACTTGTCTGCTGGCCGCTGGCAGTTGCAAAGCAGTGCCAGGAAGGCTGTGTTTTCTGCTCTGATCTTGAACCTYTCCCCACTGTTCTGTAACTCTCTCATACAGCTTCTCCTTTTGTTTTGCAGAATGATATCTTCTTACGACATTATGACAGAGGTCCTTGCAGAAACAAGCTGGGCCACTCACGGGCTTCAGTGATGTGGAACAGAACACAGGTGTGTTCCTAGCCAGCTGGGCAGAGCTCTYATGCATGCATGAAGCAGAGAGAATTTACCCTTCAGAGAAGGACCAAGATGATTATTTTCATGCTTTCATGATTTTTTTTAGTGACCTATGTTGTGTTTATGCATGTTCATATATTTTATTTTCCATATTGTCTAAATATGTGTTTTTCACCCCCATGTCTTTCAGGTTGTGGGGATCCTCGTTGGACTGGGTATCATAGCACTGGTGACCTCTCCGTTGCTGCTCGTTGCATCTCCATGTATCATCTGTTGCATTTGYAAATCTTGCCGAAGCAAAAAGAAAAAGCACAGTCCACCAACAACCTAAAACTCGGGGTCCTTTTGAGTCTCCATCTGTACAGCATATGTATGTGAGAAAGCACAATGGTTGWGTTTTGGTGCCATACCTACCAAATAATGCTCCCTTTTTTTTGGCCAATTCTTGGGAAAAGTGCCTATTCTTTACAGGCTACTTTATCACTAMGTCCTAGTGGGGGAAAAGTCTAGATTAATGTGCAGTACACATGGTATAGGTTTTGGCTTTCTGAAAAGGAAAACAGRACACCATTCAGTTGTTCATACCATGAACATGATCTGCCTTTCAGGACTGCTAGAACTTTCCCATTTTCCATCAGCTGCACATGATTTGGTCCTGCTGCTTTACTCTGTCTTTGCAGATCCAGTTTACTGTTGTGCTTGCTGTTGGTTCTTGGTGACACTCAGATTTCTGAGAAAGTTTTGGGTCTTTTGTAAAAGAGGAAGAGGAAAAGCCTGATTAGGTTTTTCTGTCTGCTAGCTTGTGTCCTGTTAAAGGTAACAAACAATTAAGAAAATATGTTTGGTAGTTTCCTGTCAATCAGCTGCCATGGCATTTCTTTCAGCATCCATTTGATTTTTAGTAATGATCTCAATTACAGAAGTAAAAAAAMCAACAGAAGTCTTTCTAAGATAGGGCTCTCTTTTGACAGACTGGACTACCTTGACAAAGCTTATATTTTTTTTACATCAAACCTGTTATTTCTACCATGAAATATTAGGAATATGTGTATTTCCCTACCACTGGGCATGTCTTTTTGTCAGTACATGGGCGTAGCAAACTCAGGTGAAGGTAATATTGTAAGAAAGACAACAATACAGATGCCATTTGTGCAGAGTGCTGGGATCCTGGTTGTGTGTGAAGAGCGGCCGCATGGGCGTGGATATACCAGATAGATGGGCAATGTATTTTCKAGGCAGTCAGTATATGTTTTCAAGAGTTTGAATGGGGTGGCAGCAAGAACCCTGTTAAAAAGTTAAACCAGGCTAACCTTACGGACCTGCTGAAGTGAATACTTGAGAAATGCTGTATAAATGTGAGCTCCATCCATTCGTGGGTATTTCTTTCATCCTGCTCAAGGTTAACAAGCTCCATTACTGATATTTTTTAGATATTCTAAATCTGGAAGGCTGTCATTTAATGAGTGCTTCATTTTAATTTGGTGCCTCATCACCAAAGCGATTCAGACCCTGGTAGCAGTTACACCTGTATAAGTTCACTGAAACCTCCCTGGAGGGAGTAGCTGGAGTTACTCCAGGCTCACTCAGGAGTAGCTGAGATCAGACTCTGCTCCCTGGCGTTCATTTCTTTAATGGAAGGTGCTTCTCTCAACTGGGGCTGGTGATGCTTTTGTTCTGGACTCCCGCCTGTGCATTTTATATCTGTGGGAACAGATACAAGTTTGCCCTTTTTAATTGGCTGTGATTCCAAACCCCTTTCCATAAGGGCTGCAAGGTTGGAATGAGACGCTCATCCCGAGTGTGGTGTCAGGCTTGTGCTCTGCCTGGCTGCCCCTCTCGGAGCGCACAGCGCGGGGCACCCGCAGAGCGCTGCCAGGAGCATCTGTGCGTGGTGTTTGGCCAAGCCTCAGGAACTTTGCCTTCTTGGCAGCTGTAAATGTRGCCTTTTTTTTGTTTAACTTTGTTCTCTGGTTACTGTAACAGAACTGCTAGGTGTTCTTTTGAGGAAGTGTAGTCTGTTGAGCAGACTAGCAAGGACAAAGGCCTTAAATGATACTGTCTGTTTTACTTTTTAATTGATTTCTTTTATAAATGCTGTCTGACTTTGCTGTCAGTMGTGGCTGGAGGGCAGGCAGTGCTCGCTAGTGTGAAAGGCTATATTTATTCTTCATCCTCAGCTTTGAAGGGAAGCAGAAAGAAAGGTAGTCAGTACATTCTAAATACAGAGTGCAATGCAGGCAACTGCCATTTATAATAAATAATGTTTTCAGTACGTGTTTTTTTTGAAAAGCACTAATGGTAGTGCTTTGGGGTACTTGTGACAGATTAAAGTGTCCAGCCCTTGGCTTTGCACTATTTTTCTACCTATGTTTTTATGGCACTACTGTCATTTCCATTTTATTTATGAACTTGAAGTTGCAAGTCTTACTTTAACAAAACCTCAAGGACAAAGATATAGGAACTGTACAGTCTCTTTAACCATAACCAGCATTGCAATATACCAGTATCCTCTGCATGTTAAAATTTGAAGGTTTTTCATGTTTTGTGATCTTACCCATGACCAATGCATCCTTTACTAGTCCAGTTTCTTTCCTTGTCTTCTCCCTCTTTCTCTTGGCCTGTTTTTGCTAAAATGCCTATTGAAATGAAGGCGTCTGATCCTTTTTTCRTTAATACTGTTGTGTTAATGAAACTTGTCAGGTTCTTCCCTTGGTTATAGGAACCCATCTGAAAACAGCTGTCTTGCACCAGTTTAGGTGTCTGGTGATGGTACCAAAACTGGTATAAATTAATCATGCAGGAGTTAACRCAGCCTGGCAGTTTCAGGGCCATTCCAGGCATCAAATAAAAATGGATGTGTACTGGTAGCCCAGACGTTTGCTAGAGGTCTTTACACAAAAACTGGGTAAGCAGAGCATGAGCTACAGGCACACCTTCCTTTGGCTGCRTAGGTGCAACAAATAGACCAAGAAGGAAGCTCTAGACACACTTAAGAGCTTAAAAGTAAAGCTTTGCAGCAATGATCTTCTTTAAAAGGCTGAGTCCAGTGGCCCTACATATCGTGGCTTTTCGTTGCATGGGAATGCTTCAGTATGTGCATTAGGTAGCCCCTGGCCTGGCTGACTCAGGCAGTACCTGAGCTGACATTCTGGGAGTAGTAAAGCCCTGTTGCTTTGTTTTCCAGAAGGCAGCTATTTTGCACCAGCTGGCTGTGGTCACAGAGTTCCCAGGGAAACATTTTAGCAGGAGTCTTTTTTACAGTGTTGGCTTTTGGTTTTGTGTTGCTTTTTTTTTTTTTTTAAAACTTCATAAAAACCATTAAAGTCACTTTATAAAAGATTTATTGAAAGCATGACCACACTAGTAGTAATTATGGAGAAGGAAAAAAAACCAAGACTGACTACATGTAACTCTTAATCAATGTATCTGTTAATCCACCCACCAAAACTCCGTGTGATGTAGTTGGTGCATGTTACCACCAGACTTCACTGCTCTTCCCATCTTCCTGCCCCTGTGGCAGGTGGCYGGCATGGAGGTGGCACCTGGGGGAGAGCTTAGGGCTGGGGCAGTTCAGGCACCACACAGGAGCACATTGCCCACCCTGGACACATCATCAGTTTGTTCTCAGGCCTTTAACCACTGAGAGACACCTTGGGGGTTTTAGGCCTTTAATGTGACACTTAGAGCCTTCACAGACGTCTGTGATGTTTGACAGAAGTGGCAGGTACTCCATTCCCTCTGAACCAGGAGCATTCAGGCCCTGTGAAAATTGGGCTCTAGGTGTTTCAAAGTCAGTTTGTAAACTTAGGAGACCAGTGCTAGAAATCAGGATTTTTACTGCATCTGACCACAAATCTCCATGGCCTCATATCACGTCATTTCCCACCTGATGTCAAATATAGCTGAAGATCCCGTTCAGCATTCCATGTCCTTGTGTTAAAATGAGGGTGATGATACCTGCTCCCAGATCCTTCTCTTAATAAAAAGAATATATTTTTTCATGCTACAGCCTAAGTGCATCTCTGCAGTATTTATTCCAGAACTGTGGAGGTGTTCAGTGTTGCCCTCCAGTAAGTGATGGCTTATTATTGGTGAATGGGTTACTTACCCCAAAGAAGGACATGAGGGGTAATAGTAATGAATGTTTCTCAGTGCTTTAATGTTACTAAATGCTGTGTCTTGTTGTCTGTCCAGCATGAAGTCCAAAATTTAAAATGTACACAWTTTTTTCTTGAATGAACTAAGAGAAACTGGATATCGTCTCCATGTTTGCATGAAGAAATAAATACATGTGGACAGAAATCAACTGCATTTCYACAAGGGGACAATAAAATCGACTTTTGGCCACTCTGTTCTCTGGTACCACAATGGGTGGTTGTGCTGTAGTGCCTGCTGCTTTAAAAATTTAAAATCTGTTTTCCACTGTAATCTCCTCCCAGTCATTCCTTCTCAAACTAATTCTTTTTATGATCATATTTTTCATCCTGTATTTCAGGCCAAAGATTCTTAGAGCAAARTTAGTAAATTTCTTTGTATGAGGATAAAAATCTTCTAACCATTTACTCCCAGGTTTTAATAAGAAATTTGATGCTGAGATACCTGACCAAAGATAGAAATCCCAGATTTGACTTGTTTAGAAAAAACTTACTGAGACTTAAGGAGTTCTCTTGCAAGACCAAAATAAGGACTGCTTTGTTGAGCTCATAAGTAAGGGAGCCCTACAGCTTCTGAGCTTCCCAGAAGAGATGCTTCTGTTGTTAAGCAGACTTCTTTGGAAATGTGCTGGGGGAAATAAAATTAAAAATCTACATATCCTATATGTATATTTTATTATATAAAGCAAAAAGACTTCTGTTGTATAGATTCATAATTTTTTGATTCAAGCCCTCTGAAGGCTTTCTAGGGTATACTTACACAGGGAGATAATATAAATATGCTGAAGCAGTTGAACAGAGTGTGTTAGTTATAAAACAGTTGTCAGACATCTCTCACACGTGAGTGAGTAGGATGAGATCATCATTTACGTGGCTGGAAATAAAGATGTGAAAATTTACCTTTCCTGGAACAGCAAGGGTTGGTTCCTCTGTGGTCTGCCAAAAGGTGAACTTACTGCTGACTCTGGAAAACTTCAGTCTCATTTTCATTTTTTCTCCAGTTAGTAAAGCAATGAAGTGAGAGCTGAATAGTGTTGCTGAACAGGAAGTCCAAAGCTATGTTTTGTGTCACGACACTCAAGTTTCTCATAACCAATGTGGTTTCATAATTTATTATTATAATTTATGCAATGTGAATATAATTTATAATTAGTAGTTATAAAATATTAAGGGTGAGGTACCATTGCCTTTATCATATGATAGATTTATTTTAATTGCATTCATACTGGAAGGCTTTTCTCTTCCTCTTCCCATGGAGAATGTCATGGTGCTCCTGGCAAGATAAATTCCTATGATCTGATGCAGTCCACAGTAAATGTTTGCTACTCTTTCATAGTTATATCATATATATCTATATATATAGAGTTTTTTTATGATTCCTCAAGGTAATTGTTCAAATTGAGCAAATCTCTGTTGTTAGGAAAGGTAATTTCCTAAGAATGCATTTTATTGACCATCACAATCTGAGCTATAAAAGATAATACTGGTTGACAAGGTCTACCAGCTCTTCAGAGGACACGACCTCATTCTTCTCCCTTCTTCCCAAGAGACTTGCTCTTTCCTTGGATGAAAGTTAAGGACTTCAGTGATGTGCTTGTGCCTTCTGGATGTCCAGACAGAAGCTGCAGCTTCTGGTGGCCACGTGCCAGGAGATCCCAGACTGGTTGAATGTGYAATGCTGCAGCGTGCGTGCAGCAACTTAAATTTCAAGAAGGTGCCTGAGCTTTATGGCTTTCTGGGGACTGTGCAGTGGATGTAGTGCACAAGGGACTCATTCAGGTGAGGCTTCAAGTGCCACCAGCCTTGTGGCACGTGTTGTGCTGGGCCATCTCACCATGTGCAGGTGTATCTCGGAGTTTCATCGGGGCCGTATCTCAAGCTGGCTCTTTCCATAGCTACCCACCCACTTCCAAAACTCCTCAGAATCCAGAGTAAATCTCTGTTCCTTTCATTTGCCAAATCTCTTGCTACTGGCTTGGTCCAGTTCCGCAGAAGCTTCGGTTCACATGAGCTATTTGGAGCTCAGCTGGTCTAAGCATTGACTTTCCCTAATGAGCAAGGCTTGGGAATGAAGAGCAGCAGAACTGTTCCGTACCACGCTTTGGCATTGGCATCACAGGCACCAGGGGTTGCCATATAAGAGCTCTTTTAACTGCCCCAGCATTGCTTATTTCCACATAAAGCCTGTGTTTTAAATGTGTGTAGACGTAAGTGTCCGAGCCTGACCCTGGGTGCGATTGTGCGTGCGATGTGAGTCAGCAGCAGCCACAGACCCCTGTCCTGCCCCTCGCAGATTTTACATTCTGTTTATGTATTTTTTTTGTTTCTTTTATTTTCCTCCAGGTAATACACTTTCTTCACCACTTTTCTCCTGGTGAAGGGCAAAAGGGTTTGATCTTTGTAAGATTYGTTAAAACATTTTTGTGTTTATAAAAAGAAAGCTGACATATAAAGAAGTAAGTGCTTTTGTAAATTTTTTTTGTGGTATAATTCAGCATTTAAGTGTTTTACAGATGAAGGTTTTGCACTCTGCATATATTCATAAAAAWTATATTTATTTTCTTTCTTCAAGGTTTACTTTGGGTTTTTTTTCTTCTGTTGTTACAAAATGCAATATGTGCAACATTAAAAAAATCAGTGTAAAGATGTCTTATTCTGTTGTAATCTTCAACTGCCTTTAAAAAGATAACAAAGGAAATGTACTGAAAGAATTTGAATACATCAGAGGTGCTTAATGGAAATGGAAATCAATGGAAATTTTGAGGATAAAATAAGGTAAAAGAGGGGGGATCGAGAGTCTTGACTCTTACTTACTTTCTCGAGAGTATTGACATTAAAATCCTTTTAAAGAGTGTGGGGCAGGCTCTGGATTAGCTCTGGGAGCTGCTGCAGTGGTGTRCAGACAGCAGTGGTGTTTCTGTAGGTGGAATACAGAATTACTAAAGATCTGCTCCCCTRTAGGTGGAGACTGGGGCTTAGGAGGTTTGAGAAGCTGGAGGAGCTGGAGCTGCCCCAGGCARTGGTTTAGGGATGTGTGGCAGGCTGCACAAAGCAAAGTCCACTCTTCAGAGCCCCCTTTCTCCTCGCCTACTCCCTCAGCCCGGTCTGTGCTTGCAGCAGAATGGGGCTTCCTGCTCCATTTTTCGGAAGGACCTGATGCAAGGCTGCATCCTGCTGTGCAATTTCAGACATCCATGCTCCTTGATTTCCTCTCACACCCACATCCTGCAGTGCTTACGAGAGACAATCACAGCTGTGGTTTTCAGCATCACACATGAAGGCGATGTTTACTATTAAATATTTCTAGMATAGCTACAATTACTCAGTGTCTGAAAGTAGGATTTTCCAGCTGGGTGAGGCATCCTTGAAAACCTTGCATGTCATCTGTGGGGCTTTTCACCTCAATACATTATCTATCTGAAAGTTCATGTTAGTTTTGCCTCTGAGAACATGTTTTCAGGATGAAGGCTGAGGAGARTACCACCACTGTTACTTACATCTCAAAATTTTGATCATGCATGTACATTTTCCCCCCCACCAGTTTGCTTAGAATAAATTCARCACTGATATTATTCCACTTAAACACAGTAATTTTATTTATTGATTTATTTATCTATTTCATGTGTGTGTGTGTGTKYWCASARMAARG